AACAGATGTTTTTTTAAAGAGCAAGCTCTCCAGACCAAGATGTATCGAAAATTATATGAATTCGATTTGATGTGTTAAACAGGTTTGTAACCTTCGTTTCATTTCGGTCAGCATTACTATAGCAAATATATCGTATGGTAAATTGTCTAGTCTCTAACCAAGAGCGGCGAAACGTGGTTTAGCTAGAACTTTAGCATACTTTTATTAAATATATATATTTATTAAACTCTCTTAAATTGTATGACTGGCTATAAATTATTAAGTGTGTGACTTGGAGATTTGTGATCTTTCATGATATGAAACAAAGTCAGCATGCGCAGATTGAAATTGTTGAACAATGATCATTTCAAGTAATTCAGGATTTTTGCTACACAATAAAATTAATGTAATTATGTACGTTTTCCGCTATTTCGTGTCATAAATTGTTTGCACCACGTCTTATAGGTTTGGGTTTTTGTGTGTTGGACCGTCTGTAAAAACAACTTCTGATGCCTGCAGTAGCTAGTTTTTTCGCGAAACTTCGACATACTTGGGCGAAATACTTTATCTTCTTTTTTCTTCGACGCAGCTTCCTCAACTTGGAACGCTTTTGAAAATTACACTAAAATTAAATGTGCGGAAGATAAGTAATCCCGTCCAATATAATAGAATTTAATAGGAAGAACTCTAGCATGATTAATAATAACACAAAAAATTTATACTGTATTAATTGAACGTGGTAACATTTTTATTTGTAACTTTTTACGAATTTCCTCCTTATAAAATTCTATTGCGCCTTTTGATTGAACTGTTCAAAACGTTGGAGTCTGTCGAAAGCTTGCAGAATAATGTAGGGGTTCGAAGGATTTGAAAAGAATAAAACCACTGCATAATAAGGAGCCTATATTGCAAGTTCACTGATGATTTACTGCTAGGAGTAGAAAACTCTCTTGCAGTATTTCCCAATGTTTGCATAATATGCGACTAGTTACTTAATACTTTGTATATCAGTCTGCAATAATATATCAGAAAGCATTCTGATGGAGCCAACAGAAGATGGAGACAGGCCAAGATATGTTAGTGATGGGAGTTGCGTTGCAAACGTTCGAAGAGACCAGCGCGTTATATTATGGGCTATTTAGATTCTAGCTACAAACATACCGTGTGAAATCAAATATACAACGGATATAAACATTAGTTTGACAATTGAAGGTTTATAATATAAAAACTATTTCGTACTGTAATCAACCATTCTATATAATATATATTAAACATGACTCTATAATTCAGAACAGCTTCAATAATCTGATTGATTGTTAGAGTTCGATTGAAAAGCTCGATAAGGGTTTGAAACTTTTCAAGAACATTCAATTTCTGACTGATATTGCAAATCGTAATGTAATTGGCGTGTAACTGTAATAAAGTTTCTGAATGAACTGATAGCCCAGATGTATAATCATATTAAATGTATGACTAATTTATAATATCTTCACGTTCTAAGTACAGTATACGCTCATGCAAAATCCCGTAATATATTCTGAGAAAATACTTTTATTTATGCTTTTATTTATTCTAAGCATGCACAGACTTTTGAGTCAACAATAAAATATTTTTGTTTCATTGTAATAGGTTGATGAATTTTTTTTTAGAATAAGACTTGAGTTGATCAACATTCAATATTACTGTAATAGATTTATGCTTATCATATATCATTTCAACGAGTCATGTATTTTCATATCAATATGAAAGGTTTAGTGTTTTAATTCTGTTTAATTTTTCTTCCTATACATAATAAAAATTGATAAACTAGCTATGATTAATTTAAGTAAGGCTTGTGGTTATTTGCGATTTAATTAAAGCATATGTATGTATGTATGTTTTTTATTCGTCTCGTAAAAGCAAAAACACAGGAGTTCGTAAATATCAACATTGAAGACGGGATGTATACACAAGACCATACTGGCCTAAAACACATGAACGTGCGGCATACACCCCTTATGATAAGCATAAAATGCAATAAATCGAATAAGTATAATATGGTCCTTCATACAGACAGTTGTGCGAGGAGGGTGGATTAGGCAACATGGGTAACGGTGGAGTATGCCCAACTGTTTGTACAAAGGAGTTGGTAGGACAAGACAACATCAATAAATAGAGACAATACAACATGAAATATAATACATAATATATATACATAAGAATAAAATTTGGACATATAGCACTCTCGAATAATGATACCACATACTATAAATGGGAGAAATAGTCAAGTTTATAGGAGAATGTGCATATATGGTATGTACCACTCAGGGGTGAGTGTCTTAAGTAATAAATGGCTAATCTAGCAAAAATGCGTTCCTTCCAGGCTTGGGGAAATGCAATGTAATAAGTTCTGTCAAGTTATACGCTTTTTCAAGGTACTTTGTATTTTATAGTTCTGAATACCGTTAAAAAAGATCAGGATTCAAAAAAAGGATATTCAGGTTGCATTTCCATAAAACCTATTATGATCGCATTTCAGCCAGACAATTCAAAGGTATAAAAGTATATTGAAATAGAGAACAATAAATTAAAAAGAATATCATTTTGCCATGTCATGGAATAGACCTTATTCATTGAAAACCCATCCTACGCGCAAAAAGAAAAGTGATGTAAAAAAACAATTTTAACATTAGCTCTTATGGGGAATGTGATCACCAGAGCAGAAATTTGCATTTTTTGTAATTTTCTAGGTATCTTTCATTGTGTACGTGAGCAGTTTTGAAGATAGAATATTTTTTACATCTTTTTTGATATTTTTATCATGATAAACATGGTCAAGATTTTTGATAATCGTTCATTGAAATTTTAATGAGCGCGGTGTTTCCGATGACGTCATTCTCACCAGACCACGAGATTCTGCCAACGCGTCGTGCTCTGTGGGATATGCGCTCCAACTGCTTGTGATAACAGAATACTGAATACCGGTACCGGGACCACAACTGGCGTTCAACGAAAGACCTATTTTGGTTTTAATTGGATGTTATATATTTCATGAATTCCATGTAACTATGTACATTTCTGGTACACCTTTCAAAATCCAATGGCCTAACTCAGTTCATATGTTGACACCATGTACCTATCCCAAAATTGGTGATGTTCATGGCTGGATTTTAGACCATGAGAGACCCCTTCATATTTTTGATCTCGGAATTTTTCTCTAAACAACACCACATTTAATTTCTTAAAATTTAAAAATATGAGTGCATTAAACTTTTCATTCTCCCCATTCATGGGTGTGAATTCTTAATTAAAAGAATAAAAATTTACTTAAGGCAGTTTTGCTTTCAATTTCTTTGATCAAACAACCGCTACAGCCATACTTTAACATAGAAACTTCCAGCAGAATGCGCATAATAATAATTTCCCTTATTATGATGCAAACGACGCAATAATGGCTGTTTACAATGTGGTTGAAACCAGTTGTGTACAGAATTTTCTATTCTGAAATGCTTGATATATATATATACTTTTCGTAGGGTTTAAACTTGTCAAGTTTTCAAAAGAATTACAAACTTCGAAACCGAATTTCGAGGCTCTAGGTTTCAGCCTGCCTGGCCTATTGGTAAATCCAGCCCTGGTGATGGTCCCTACAGCAAATTTCTGGCCCTAATCACTCAGCAGATTGAAATAAATGGTTTTCAGCATTTATTAGCAAAGATAGATATTTTAATTAAACATATAGTTCAACTTAAAGCCTGTATAATGATATTATAAATATATGTCCCATTATTACTGCAATGTGAGAAGGCTTTCCACACTATCAAGTCTATGAGGTTTTAGCGTCTTTCAATGTCTCAGATGGAAACTTCAGTCTTCATTTCGCATATTCTTTTCATTAATGCCGTTAGCATTTGAAGCTTGACTGATTCCAATGTACCTTTTCCATTGTTGTGTAATGTAATATCCTAAACGCGACTTCAAATTTTTTTCTCACTTCAATCATCACATGTTTGAATACGCGAGCTGTCTTCTACTGATTTGTTATTAATTTACAATTTTTTTATTATAAATTAACTGTCGTACTTGCTAAGTGTCCACTATGTGAAAATCTACAAAAAAAGCAGTGGTTTAATAATGGACTACATTTTTAACCGAATCCAAAAATGTTCCGTAACTTAGTCAACCCTTCCTCCAAGGAGTTTTTGTTAAATTGTTCAAACATCTTAAGTAACTGTTAATCTTGATAGCGAACATGGGGCCCAGGGGGAGCTGACTGTGATGGTCGTATCGCTCCCCAGTCTATACCGAATAACTGTGTGTTTTGTATACAATTTTTATTGATACAATGCTTGTATTCTGGTTGACAAAATAAATCTCTCACTCGTATTCAGTCATGTTTTTTAACCTAGTTAGGAGACCGGTATTGTACCATTATAGGTTGGAGATATTCATCTTTTTTGTATACCGGTACCGTACAACTTATCCTGCCTATTGGCAGGATGGCCAACATTTTTGTTCGTAGGCCTATTTCAGTATTTACTAAATAATTTAGTTTTCACCTCTTGCAGCCTTGGTACGGTACCAGTAGTTTAAATAACACGTCAGCATGCCTTCAGTAAATGATTGCTAGCTGTACAGGTATAAATGCGTAAAACCAGTAAAAAACGTGATAGAAATGGTATGGGTTATAGATTGTCAATGTTAAACGCTTCCAGTACCGGTATCGTACCCAAAGCGACATTAGCGCTGCATTTGGAACGCATATCCCACAGAGTACGGCGCGTTGGCAGAATCTCATGGTCTAGTGAGAATGACGTCATCGGAAACACCGCGCTCATTAAAATTTTAATAAACGATTATCAAAACTCTTGACCATGTTTATCATGATAAAAATATCAAAAAAGATGTAAAAAATATTCTATCTTCAAAACTGCTCACGTCTACATTGAAAGATATCTAGAAAATTATAAAAAATGCAAATTTCTGCTCTGGTGATCACATTCCCCATAAGAGCTAATGTTAAAAAAAAATTTTTACATCACTTTTCTTTTTGCGCGTAGAATGGGTTTTTAATGAATAAGGTCTATTTCCAAATTGAATTGAAATAATAATAAAATATGGCATCCTGTGATGAAGAAAGGGTTAGGATTGTTCGATTTAGTGCTGATAATAAAATAAAAACAATAATATAATTGAATAATATGATATCCTAGAATAAAGAAAGGATTGAGATTGTTTAATTTGGTGCTGGGCGAGAATAATGGAATGAAGTTAAATAAATAAAGCAGCATGCTACTTTAACAGTGATCATTGTCCCTATTGTTTGCTACATTTAAATTTTGTTTCTTTGTCTGATTATTTAAGCATGGTGATGAAATTAGAATGGTGTGCTAGTTATTGAATCAGTCCATTGTTTCATGTTGAATCCGGGTGAAGTATCCTGTGGAGTTATTGAAATCGCCATCTGTTCTATGGCGACTGAAGATTTCGACCGGTTCTTTTCGACCTGATAGTTGTCCAATCAAAATCATGTACGGTTCTCCTTTTCAGTTTTGAATTCACCTTGAAAAATAATCTCAAAGACAGTAATATGTTCAAAGCAGAGAAATTTGCTAATATGACGATAATTTATATTGTTTAAGTTTGGAACGAAATTCTGAGTTTGATTTTGACTTTTTGATGTCATTAGGTAGGGAATTCCAAGCTTTTGGCCCACATACTACAATTGATTCTTGTGAAAAACTTTTGCTGACGAATGGAATAAAAAAATTATCTTTATTTCTGCTGTTTGAATTTGGGTTTGCTCGAAACAAGCTGCTCAGACTGGACGGGAGTTCTCCATATGGTAACTAACTGATCGATCATCATTCACGTATGCTAGTCAGTGTTTTCGCTCTGTTCCTGCTGAGTCGTATATATGTGCCATTACCAGTAACAAGTTTAATTTCCGTAGATTGTGTTCAGAGTAGGCATAGATATAAGATACTTGATTAATTTTATTTTGAGAGTGAAAACATCATTGTTCTTACCCCCTACAATGGATAAATGGCTAAAAGTCGTAAAGGTAAATGAAAGCAGGTCAGCTGGCAGGTCAGGTCACTCAAAGTGTAACAATGTTTTTTTATATAAACGGTTTGTTCGACTTCATCATGAATTGAAGTCCGACGTGATACGAGCTGATACTAAAGAGATGAACATAGCTACAATCTTCTTCATACAGAATTGATAAAAACTTGTATAAGGTCCATGTATCACTATTGCAATGCCATTTGTGAGTATTTGAACAGCTGATCCACGCTTATACCACTTCTGTTATAAATTTAGTAAGTGATTCCAATCAGTCTTTTACTAAATAACAATCATTTGCTTATTTCAAATGTTTGACGACCGATCCTTTGCTTTGTTTGCCATCGCGTTGTTCCCGATGTTTTGATTTCATCGAGAGATCTAGAGGAGTGTCTTCATCCTGTTGTGGCCGTTCTTCGCAGCCTGTGAGGTTGCACTGAAGTATATAATATAAACACTTTTCTGTTAATTATCACCAAAATTAAACGCTTCCTAATTCCGAAAGTACAATCTATGCAAAAGCTGCTATTTCATAACCAATATCAGTTATAAATACAGTCTATATATATATATCTAATACGGTAGTTAAGTAGACATACCGCGCTAAAAAAGCGACGGTTATGTAGACGGAAAAATTGGGTAGACATTTTCCTGTCCGCTTAATTATTCCACGTTCCATAATTAAGACGTTTTGCGATATTTTGCTGAAATCTCTTTTTCTCTGATAAAGTTCTTTCAATATTTTTCAAATATCTGCACATTTTCGCCAACTTTAAGGGGACAGTAGTTCTGCTGGTTTATAATCAACGGGTTTAATTTTCGTACATAAAGTGGACATTTTGTTTATGCAAAAATCTTTTAATTTTTCGGTATATGTTTTTACGATTTTTGGAGAATAGGTTTGATAATTTTGATACAATAACCAGGCAGAACATGAAGATCGTCCGTTCTGTTTTTTGCAATATAAGCTCAATAAACTGAAAAGGACCTCAATTCACAACTTCGTACTAAAGAGGCTTTGTGTCGCAATAGTAAAACTGTCGGGTTCGCCGGGAACTTTACCACGTTTGCCGTTTTGTTCGCAAGTAACCTGGACGCCATGAGGGGATTGGGATCTTCATGAGTGCGTGATTGCAGAAATTTAGATAAAATAGAACAGTTGTGTTTGGGGAAGAGATCCAAGTCTTTTGTGTCAGGTGTTATAGTTACCCAGTGAGTTGGAGTCGAGTCATAATAACTTGAAACAAGGTTTTCATCGTCACCGAGGAATGCTGCTGGAAATCATCACTCATCGGATAAGGTGATTAGTCATAACGATTTTTAATATTAGGGTTATTTTTCACGTAATCCAGATTATCAAAATATAGACTACTGATACTGTTATGCTTTTACTGGTCGTATTTCTGATCTGACCATCAAAATAATGCCACGACTGAGTTTGCGTTTGTAAGAGTGTGTAATTCAGAAGGATTTCTAAATCCAGATGAAAATACAAACGAAGATTGTGAAAATTCAATGAATTCAATTTTTTCTCGAAACAGAAGGAGATACGAGAAGCGAGTAGTTGACGCCACTCAGTGTAGATTTGTATAGCTTGGTGTAAATAAAAATATCTAATACACCGCTTCATATTAGATTAGAATATTTTATCTTCGGAAAACAGTTTTGAAGAATTGCATTGCTAGCAATTTTGTTTTGTGATTTGGCACATATCCCTGTGTTATTTTACCATCTTCATCTAGTTATTTACTGGCCTGTATTTTTTGTTCACATGTAGGTGACTCCCCAACGAGATGGCCTACGTTTCAGAACTTGGCAGACGGAAATGCGGGTAGTGATTCTGAGAAAGCTGTGCCAAGAGGTGACTAAATGAGTTTGCTATGCTTGTTTTTTATTAAATACGGTATCTTAAATTGATACCAATGAATGGTAATAAACCAAATCATAATATCACTTGTAGCCCATCACAAATAGCGCAGCTATCTACGAATAATTGTAGTGCACCGTTTAGAAACTCTGGTTTATTTGAGTAATTATGCAATTCCCCATTTCAAACATTTCGTTTGTTCGATCAATCAAGAGTAGCGTAATTCTGAATTGGACTAAAACACTGTGATGATGTTTTGCGACTTATGCATGTATTTTTGATCAAAGTTTCAGATAAGTCAACAGACTATACCGCACCATCTTCAGAATCACTTTCAATAAGCAATGTAAGTGATTTCGAAGACAACCATATATATGGAAAAGAAAAAGGCTGTAAATCAATTAAAAAAAAAGCTTCTAAACAAACGCGAACCAGAAAAGAAACGACGAAAAGAAAAATAATTGCACGGCTTTGTATATCTTGCGAGAAGTTTATTGTAAAGCTTCAAGACATCTCTGTATAATTCATAAAGATGAACCGGCAGTGAGCATAATTTTGTCTCTCCTCAACAACCTAATCTAGTGGGCATATCTACATTCGTATACATACTTAGCATACATTTTTACTATTTAATTATAAATTCAAAATATGTTTTTGTATTCCGAGTTGGTGCAAAAATTTTAAATAAATTCTGCAAAGATTCTAAATTGATATTGAGGTTCAATAATTTCATTTTGATCGTCTGTATAGTTGACTGTATAATCACTGCTATACTTAGGCGCCCTGATAGATAGACATTTGAGTTATAATTGGTGTAATATTTCTCATTTTAGTTGACATGGCAAAATTTCGTTTCGCATTTATAGCCCCCACTGAAAACGTCACTTTATTGAACATTTGAGATATGTTGTGTGTAATGTTTCTCGGTATTTTTTTCAGAATTTCGTGTTTTAATTACATACCTTCTGAAATGGTCGGATGGTTGAAATTGTTGAAAGTTTTTTTGAATGCTTCTCAATATTATTGCCATTCCAAAATATCATTTTGCATTTACATGACACACTTACGTAGATGAGTAGATGACGATTTGCGATTTATTTTCTGTTTTGTTTTTCAATATGGTTTCAAAATTTTGTTTTATAATATTTGTCACTCTCAAGTTATCGGATAGGTGAACATTAGAGATAAATTTTGAGCAATTTTCCACAACATCAAAATAGGATTAGTATTCGAAATTTGTATTTCAGTTAAATTTCACACACTTAAGTGTGTGAGATATATTTTGTGTAAGATTTCTCAATACGATTCCAGAATTTTGTTTCAATAGTTGTATGCCACACTTAGGTGGTCGGATATGCGGACATTTGACATATATATTTTGTATTATTTCAGAATTTTCATTCCAATTTTTGTATGCCCCACTTAGGTGGTCGGATAGGTGGACATTTGAGATATACTTTTTTAATGTTTGTCAATATGATTTCAGAGATTTCATTGTGATTGTTTTATGCCCCACTTAGGTGGCCGGATAGGTGGACATTTGAGATATACTTTGTGTAATATTTCTCAATATGATTTCAGAATTTTCATTTCAATTCTTGTATGCCACACTTAGGTGGCCGGATAGGTGGACATTTGAGATATACTTCGTATGATGTTTCTCATTACGATTTCAGAATTTTCATTTTAATGTTTAATGCCACACTTAGGTGGCCGGATAGGTGGACATTTGAGATATATTTCGTGTAATGTTTCTCAATATGATTTCAGAATTTTCATCTCAATTCTTGTATGCAACACTTAGGTGGCCGGATAGATGGACATTTGAGATATACTTCGTGTAATGTTTCTCAATATGATTTCAGAATTTTCATTTTAATGTTTAATGCCACACGTAGGTGGCCGAATAGGTGGACGTTTGAGATATACTTTGTGTAAGGTATCTCGATATGATTTCAGAGTTTTTATTTTAATTGTTGTATGCCACACTTAAATGGCCTGATAGGTGGACATTTGAGATATAGTTTGTGTAATGTTTCTCAATATGATTTCAGAGTTTTCATTTTGATTGTTTTATGGCACACTTAGGTGGTCGGATAGGTGGACATTTGAGATTTACTTTGTGTAATGTTTCTCAATATGATTTCAGAAGTTTCATTTCAATTCCTGTATGCAACACTTAGGTGGCCGGTTAGGTGGACATTTGAGATAAACTTTGTGTAATATTTCTCAATATAATTTCAGAATTTTCATTTCAAATCTTGTATGCCACACACAGGTGGCCGGTTAGGTGGACATTTGAGATAAACTTTGTGTAATATTTCTCAATATAATTTCAGAATTTTCGTTTCAAATCTTGTATGCCACACTTAGGTGGCCGGATAGGTGGACATTTGAGATATATTTCGTGTAATGTTTCTCAATATGATTTCAGAATTTTCATCTCAATTCTTGTATGCCACACTTAGGTGGCCGGATAGGTGGACATTTGAGATATACTTCGTGTAATGTTTCTCAATATGATTTCAGAATTTTCATTTTAATGCTTAATGCCACACTTAGGTGGCCGGATAGGTGGACGTTTGAGATATACTTTGTGTAATGTATCTTGATATGATTTCAGAGTTTTTATTTTAATTGTTGTATGTCACACTTAAATGGCCGGATAGGTGGACATTTGAGATATATTTTGTGTGATGTTTCTCAATATGATTTAGGATTTTTTTTTCAATTGTTGTATGCCACCCTTAGGTGGTCGGATAAGTTGACATTTGAGATATATTTTGTGTAATGTTTCTCAATAGGGCTGGTGTTCATTTTTCAATTACGTGCCATATTTGAGTGACCGGATAGAAGAACATTTGAAATCCAATTTGTGTGATGTTTGTCTTCATTAATGACATATCAGAATTCTCATTTACCATTATTTGTATAACTTGAAAAGGCCGGATAGGTGGACATTTGGGATAAAGTTTGTGTGATATTTTTTCAATATTATTGGCATTTCCGAATTTCATTCTGCGGTTACCTTCTGCGTATATATAATTTTCTTTTATTGTTTCTCAATATTATTAGCACTTTCATATTTTATTTTACTATTATATACCACACTTCCTTTTCAAAATAATATTTCACACTTTAGCAATCAGATTGGTGATACGTTTGAAATATATTTTGTGTATTGTTTCTCCCTATGTATGGCATTTCAAAATTTTGTTTTTCAATTATATGTCACGCTTAATAACTAGCCATACATAAGCGGGTTTTTGAGATATATTTTGCGCAATTTTTATCAATATTATTGGAATGCCATAATTTTGACTTGGTATTGATATCTTGACACTCACAACATAGCATCTGTTTAATCTATATGTTGCACCATAGGGTTGGAATAGGCGAACATTTGTGATATGCTCTGTGTATTTCTCAGTTTCAAATATATAACACGTTTGAATCAATTTGTTTCGAGTTGTCTACCTTCACGTTGCATTTTGAGTATTTTTTGATATAGAAGATTATTTCCAACACCAAACACAGTGCATCTTCCTTGCACGAAAGACTGAACATTGAAAAAAGAAATGCTATTTTTTGTGATAAATATTGCTAAATGGTTCGAATCCATCGGAAATTAAAGCGAGGTCATACGCTTTAAAATGCGTATTAAAATAAAAGCAACATCATTTATGTAGACATCAAGGGCGACATATAAGAGGGGCCCGGCTTAGTGCCGAAATAGGCTAAAACATTTGGTGGTCTGAATTAAGTGGACGAATTAAGCGGACAAAAATTTTATATCTGTTATCGAGAGGATTGTGTTGACTCTTTTTCTCCGTAGTTGTCAACGGCTCTCGCACTCTCCAAGCACGTATTTAAAAACAATGATACGGACACAGGAACGACGTCCGCTTAAGTACTGCAATTATGGCAGGTCCGTTTAAATACCGTAATAGAGTTATATATATATATATATATATATATATGTTTCCCCATAGTTAATTTGATTATTCATAAAATGATTGCTTTAGTTTTTTTTCATCGTATATGCGGTGTTCGTATATTAGGGATTCGGCATTAGGGAGAATTATGTATTTGCAATTTCTAGCTATAAATTCCGTACCAGGTGCTTCTTTCTCCGAACTCTTCGCATTGCTGCTTTTATTGCTTGCTTAGTGACCAGAGAAACTAAACCTTCTTCGGTTAACGATTCCTTTGCTATTGATCTGTTATAAATATCTTCCAATGACTCTTTGCCGCTCATTGCTCTTTCTTTCATACTATAGAATAGGTAATAAGAGGTTTATCCGCAATTGCCTAGCATAAATGAAAAATTGTTCTTCGACACATAAATTTTCAATTTACTCCTGATATACAGGAATGCAACCGACCCGAGTTTTTACCAGAAAAACCCCGTCACCTTTTATAAGATTGAAAACATGCATAGAAGCTTACGCTTGATTGCGCCAAAAGTTGTCAAACTTTTGGGTTAGTTAAATGTTCAGTATACGAACATTATTATCTGAAACCTAAAATGTAGCTTCTGACATATATCTTGTCATTGATAAGTCACAAACAGCAAACTCTGAATAATATGTGCGTCCAGCATCAACCAATGCCGGCTTGTAATAACGCCTGCAATGGAATGATTTCAAATATTTTGAATAAAAAATTTCTTGTAGAATAAGATGTTATTTTTCATTTCTGTATAAGAGCGAGTAACACGTCATGTGTTAACGCACAAAATATTTATTGCATATATCCATTTGACATATATTCCTGCCTGCTGGTCAAATCTTAATATGACATAGAAGGGGTTAAATTTATTTAGTCGTTACCTATTCACTAGCTCTCTTGCCTCAACTCGTCCGAATTCTCCTCCGCGGTTGTGCATACTACTTCTTCCTATGATTTTTCAAGAATCTGATCCTTCCAAAAGTCGTAATCTAGCTCTGCATTGTAATCCCTTGTCGTATGAACATATCCAGTATGATTTTGCAGCGTTTCCGCTTTTTTTGCAAAATATGTAATCCCCATAGGTCAGTAGTTTATGACCTTTTGTCGAAAAAATATATCTAGGACTGAAATCGTTTAGTTCCAAAGTATCCGACTCTACTTCGTTTGTTGAAGTATCTTTGAAGTTTGTCGACATGAGGTTTTCCACCATATTGCTTGAACAATTACTCCTACTCCTACAGCTCCAGACGACTGAAATTCTAGAATTATTTATTCTATAGTCGCATACTTTAAATTACCTCTAATAATGCTGGAAAACTTTTTTAAGGGTCAACTATTGCCCAAAAATACTTGTTTATATAGCATCCCGATAGTCCTATATGAAAAGATCAATCACCCAAAACATAGATTCAATAGGAATATACACGACATTTCCATGTTATAATTAAAAAACAACTTTGTTCTCGGTCTTCAAAAATTTAAAATAATTTCAATATGTCTATTTCATTGTCTACTGAAGTGATGATATGACAATTGAATAAAAAATATTTCATCCTTTCACGAACACTGGTGTGTACGATGTGTGCAAGAAAAATCTTCAAAATGCAAATTGTTGCTATTTTGATAATTTGTCGAAATCCTGCTTGGTGCATACTTTTTCTATCAATATTCGTCGATATATAGGCTACAAATTTTATATAATAATAAAATTAATTATTAATATCTTTAATCAACACAACTTGACTTGTTGCTAAAACTACTATAGATAGATACTGAAATCTGAGTATTTGGAAAGATAAAACTGTTGGCTTGGCCCCCTTGTAACACCGTCTTCGAAAATTGGCGCATAAGTGTTTGGTGTGACGTCTAAGAGAAAGAGAGAAATATGTGTCAATACAAGTTTAACCCATTTGTTCAACACGAATATGTATACGGTAGCTGTTTATTTTTTGTGAACAGTAATAATATCATACTGATAGTTGCTTATTCATAAGTCTCACTGAAACATTGATTGGGATTCATTATACCTTTCATAAGCTGTTTACTATCGACATCCTCATACGACGTCAACAACGGGTTAATCCGTGTCTCTCGTTTTGTGATTAGACCGTGAAAGAGGCTCCTCGTTCGTTCTCACAAAGAAAATACCAAGAGCGGAAATTTGATGTTACGTAACAGTCAAGTTACATAAAAGCCAAATTTGATGTATCTGAATAATAGGCGGAAGCCGTCGCAGTGTGGCAAAATTGTATCATCACGAAACGTCTTCGAAAGCAGTAATTACGAAGGAAAAGAACTTCATGTGTTTCAGTGTTTGTGTTTAATCTTACGTAAAATAAGAATTTTCAAATGGTTGTAAGACGATTCAATGCCATAGTTCATAGTCTACCTAGAATGTTCTATTTTCAATTCACGATAGACAATCTGACTTAAGAAACTGGATTGACATGTTGTCGTTGGGATATATTTTTATCCTAAGCTCATTTTTAAGCATAGTCTGTTTCAAAACATATATTTTTGTTTCTCAAGCGTTATTTATCAAAATAGCACATGAAGAAAGAAAGAAAGCAAAATTTGGCTTTAGTAGAGCTTATATTTGCATAAATTCCGACTGGAACAAGTAGAATTTTTCCATGAAAACTCGCTATGTTCGGGTTTGTCAAAGCCCAGAAGTGAAACGACGAGTGGACTTTCACTTTACATAACCAGTGCCTTCAAAAATCCCTAACGGACATTGAGCTTGGACAATATATTCAAAAGTCTTATTATGTAATACTCCTTTCAATTCTCAGCTTATTCAGACTGAAGCATGAAGTCCTAACTTGAATCGGTGGAATAATAGATTAAGTATATCAGCGTGGCAGGTACAAAGTACCTGAATTGAAAAAGGATGGTTACTGTGGATTTCTATACCTTTAGCCACAGAACGCTTACTGCATATATCTTGATATACAGTAGTTGAGTACTTACAATATTTCATCTACACTTGAGGCTGCCCATGTGTTAATTTTTCTGTTACTCGCATTCGATTGTGTAACAACTAGGGCTGGGAATTTTAGGGAAACACTTTAACCGTTAACCGCCGCGTGACGTTTGACGTAATAATTATAATTTCAGCTTGTTACGTCACAATGGTTATAAAGCAATTTCGCGTGTTCTTATCCCGGTATCGCTAAAAATTATTCACGAATTGAGATAGTTTCATTATTCCTCTGCTGCAAAAGATAGGCAGCGTGGTTTGGGCATGTGGAAATATTTAAGAAAACCCGATTCCGTTGTTAAACGTCATTTATGTGACAAATTTTCAGTGTTTGATGTGCAAATTCTACTTCGAGATATATTTCATAGAGAAAACGGCATCAACTGCACACTTGTTGTATGACATTGAATATCCGATTTTGCAATGGAATCGGGAACAATATATTTCGAAATCGACCAAAAACTGATTCTGAATTTATCATTCTAAATTTTCATTATCAAAAACCTTGGTACTTTCATTATTTATTTACATTTATTGAGTCCTTACCCACACAGTTAGTAATATTTTTTTTAATTAAACGCCGCAAGAGATAAACTTGAGATGACGTAATCATATTTGACGAAATTGTACGGTATAAAGATGATTTGTACCTGAGATGTCAGTTAACGGTTAAAATAAATCATAGCCGTTAACCATCTGAAATCGGTTAACCGGTTAACCATTCCCAGCCCCAGGAGTGTTTCATTAACCTGCAACAGGTTATATCGGGATAATTCCTAAACGGACGCTGAATAGTACAAAAAAATGACGCACACATATAGAAACTTATCTCTTCAGTGGTCTCTGGTTATCTTTTCAACTATAGACATTTGATTAGCCTGATGTAGGGTTACCATATTTTTGTGACTTCAAATCGGGACGCCTCGAAAGTCAACGACCCCTTAGCTGTGATTTTGTAACTTCACATTTTCCGATTTTACTACTTAGGCCTACATTCCTACATTTAAAGCTGTCTCGGCTGTCTTTATTGACCATATTGTTACCGAAATTTCATGCGCATATTCTCTGTCCAAATATCGAGTTCAGTTCGAAAAATAGGAAGGAATTGACGTTAACGATACCGGTACAAATAATTCGAATTTAGACTAATTAGTATTGGTTTTACATGCGATGCGTCTGCCATCAATGGGAATCAGCGGGAAACGAACGCATTCACCTTCAGTAAGTAGGCTAGCGCTGCGCTACACAGAAACAACAGTAACGAGAACATGTTTGTGTATTATGCTGGAAAAGCGGGACTTTTGGCTGACTTATCGGGACGGAGGGACAAAACGCTGAAAAGCAGGACTGTCCCGCCTAAAGCGGGACGTATGGTAAGCCTAGCCTGATGTTATTATGTTAAGTTGGTTTTCAGATGTGCGGACAAGTGATCTCTGATATAGCGTGACATCGGTACCATATCCCACACTATAGTTTGCCTTCAAATAGGCCGATGGTGCCCGCTGTTACCAAACAGAAAGCAAGCGCATTTCATCTTATTTAAATAAGATTTCCTAACTTATTTACTACAACTTATATTCAAAACAAAACTGGTCGAACAAATATTTTAGAAAAAATATTTTTGAACAGATTGATTATTTGAATCAGTCGTGTAAATCAGGGGTGTGCAACCTTTTTCCCAGGAGGGCAAAATATCAATAACCGGCTGAAACCGCGGGCTGCACCTACATTTAACTCAGGCTTTCTATTAGTTGCAGGCACAATATGGTGTCTTTTTGTTATTATGGAAGTGCTAGCAAATCGATATGACGCCCATTTTAGAAAAAAATATGTTAACGAAAAGTGCCATATTTGAAGCCATGATTTTTTTCAAATGTGGATAGTTATCTTGGTTGAGTAAAATGTTGAGTAAAATGTTTTCAGTAAAATACGCCAAGATTCATTTCCAAATAATTTGCTGTCAAATCCTATTCTAGGTTAGATTTAGACAAAATCAATTGATGGGCTGGAACCAAAACTCATTATATTTGCGTGAAGTGACAAAACATGGAGCTTGGTAATTTGCCAAATACGAATTGTCTCTTAAATTAGCAATATATATTCTTTTCGTAATAAAATTATTAGCTTAGGATGCTGCTCTATACTTCCTTCAGTGAAATTTTGCCACAGGTAACTATTGATATCTCATTAGCATTGCAGTTTCACAAAGAAACATCACCACTGCAGGGAAGAAATGAAACCTGATATAGTTTATGGAACACGTACATATTAATCGTTATGCTGAATTTTTTTTTTTATTTAGAGGGGGGGAGGGCGATATTTATAATTGGGAATCTTTTTTTCAAAACTAATTTGAACTTTTCTTGGTTTGAAAATGGTTGAGGTCGGTAGAAGGCTATTATTTTTATTTCTCACTTTTATAAGGCTTGCTATCTCTTCACAAATTTTGCCTTTTTTGAAACGTATTGCCCAGCCGCAATTTTCTAACATTTTTTATTGTTTGCATTTCAACACTAGAATCCTACTCTGGGAAAATAACCAAGTAGTAAGTTTTAAACCTAACGTAAACAATGTATTAGATTTAAGACATACATTCTCGGTTATTTTTCTAGAGCATAGCTGTAATTAGGAAATGCAAATATTATATATAAAAATTTTCAAAAATGTCAACTAACAGTAGTTTTTAATTTTTCTTCGCTATCAAAGGACGTAGATAGATGCTTGTAGTTGCAGCTGTCCATCGCCGATGGCTCTCGTGGATTATTGCAAGAAAGTACTAGCAACGCAGCAAATTTTTTTTTTAAATAAGACCTGTCTTAGTTTCTAACAACAAGTGGAACACGATATCAGATACACTAAAGCAGCGACCGGCAACTATACTGCCATACACAACACTACGATTAAGCTATTCATTTCTAGTAACTTCACAGGTTAGCATTTGATTTAGAATGATCAATGTTCTCATGGCTTTGTCTTTCCGTTTTAGAAATGGAAATTATAGGCCGTGTGACGTTTAGAGTCGAATAACGCAGCCATCATCCAAGTACTAACGTGTAAAGCACAAATCTGAAGAAATAACAATTCCGAGTTGGAAGACTGGAAAAGATGCAACAGCAGGTCCTTCGTCATAAAAAAATATAATGTATGCCCCATTGACTATAAAAAGTTTTCACCATTGCTGCTCTAGAGTCTAGATCTGCCACACAGCAGAAAATACAATCCAAAAAGTTGATGAGAGCTGAAAAAGCAGATAACTACACACACGCATACAAAAATTCCACCGCTCCCAATAAGCTCGGCTCTGTGGGCGCATTCTTAATGAAATCGCCACAAA